AGGTCACCGCCCTTTTGCGAAAGACGGCCCTGCGGCGGTGGGGTGCTGAGGCAAGTTTGGGGCCAGTGGCAAGCGGGGGACAGATGGTGCCAGAAGAACCTGCTAGGTGTGTCTCAAAGTACCTTTGGAACGCCTTTGTGAACTTGGTACAAAACCACATGTTCATCACAGGGTTCACAGGTTCATTCGAATATTTTGCAAAAGCATTCTTCTTAAAGCTCCTTCGCTAGAGGGTTGGGAACCCCTTATATATATATCATTGATGTGGATCACTCTTATTTATTTTTAAGTCCTTTACCCTATTTTGGATGAAGCGAGAGCATCACTGCATCACTGCCGGGGCGGCTTTCGAGAGACGCGAGTGGGGCATTCGAGTCCAAAAAGAAACCGTTGAAGTTAGACTATCTTAAATTGATTGAGACTATTACAAACAAATAAATAAACAATCAGCCAGGAGTCACAAAGGGATTGTGTTTAGTCCCTATGCAGCCTATAGAAGTGAGTGGATAATGGGCACCCCTATCCTCCAATAGGCAACCCTTTGTGACTGCTGGAATATGGTTCTTCCTCTTTCAGTGGAGTTCAGTTGCTCCCCCAGAGAGGACCTGTCCCACACAAGTCTCTAAACAGGCGTTTGCTTGCCACCTTCCCACACTTGCCACAGGTGGCGCCTGCTGCACGGAGCCCCAACAGCGAAACTTGGGCGAACCGGGGGATGGCAACAGCAACTGGTTGAGTCAGTTGAGGCAGTGGCAGTTAACATTTTGGGGGGCGAGTCCAACTTCTCCAACAACTCTAGTGACGTCCGTTGACTTCGGAGTTGGTATGTGTGGTGGCGAACGAGCGGCTGGCTCCTTGAGGTGGTGCCTGGTGAGAAACTGGGCCACTTGTTTCAGGTCCTTCGTGTGTTGGAGAGGTGAGCAGAAAACCCCGGTGGGCGGATCCAGAGCATGAATACAAAGCACCTGGATCCGCCATGGTGGATGCACTCCCATTGGAGAAAATTGCCCCCTTGGATGACGAGTTTAATGGTCCTGTGCTTTGGACTCCCGAAAACTAGCATCGACCCTGACGTCCTGGCCCCCTGGAAGAGTGTTTTCCTCTACCAACCAGTGGTTTTCAGGTCCATGTTGGTCTTCCAGGGTGTAGCTTTCTTTGATGCTGGCTCTTTGGAGCTGATTCCACCATCCTCAATGGACGGCGAATGGACTGAGACGTGGACATCCACTGGAAGAGGACGTGGGGTTTTGTGTGAGGACAGCGAATTGAACAGCACACGCATGTCTTTTGGATGCTGGGTCCTTGTGCATCCCTTTGCACATCAGGCCGAATCAGGCCTTATATTGGCCTTACTGGTTTTGCTTTAAAGTCGTGATTCGGTATACGGAATGGTGTATAGTCATTGAACGTCGCAATCATGCCTCCTGCCACCCCGTGAATTGACATCTTTAGACTCTTTAGACGGAGTATGGGTAATTAGTAATTGATATACATGGAGGCCTGCAAAAGGTATAGCCGCTATAGCTGTAGTAGACAAGAGTATCATACGACTTCCATTGCTGACAGACTCCGCTGCTTTTGATGCTTTTTTGTTTGCTCAAAGGCCTGCTGAAGGGACCAAGTATGACAAAACTCCATGGCGCACGTTATGGGTCTGGTGGGCAACCCCTCCGTTCTGAGGAGGCCGAAGATGAGATCGCAGCCTGGGGGCTCAGCCATGCCATTTTCATGGTGCATTGAGTGAGGTTTTTGTGCAAGGCGCCAGGTTGCCAGCCTCGCCCAGACCATCCATGTCTGGAAGAGTTTCAGACATGATCGGGTGATACATGGATCTGGGCGCCGGATGCCCATGGATTCTTTCAGGGATCTGGGGCCGATCTCGAACATCGATCACGGTTCAGCTTTCGGAAAGCGAAGACGGTCGGGGTTTCGGGTTACCCCCACCGTGCCTCGGACGACACCTCCAAGAAGGAGATGAATCGGATCAACCTGAACCCCTGAGACTCTTCTGACTCTTCTGATCAACCTGAAGACCTTTGGAATTCGGGCGGCCTCCTTCCTCGTGCCAAACCGGTGGTGATCAACCTCGAGGCCATCATCGCAGCGGCACGGGCGGCACGGGGCCTCAGGTCCTCTGGATGCCTCGGGCCTCGGGTCCGAAAACCAACTTGGAATTGTGGCAGGTCCCACCTGGATGGGTGGAATATGTGAAATACTCTCGAGCTTGGGAGATGGGAACTGTGGAACTAGTTTGGTTCCACACCATCCCCACCTCCAAGACTTTGCCTTCCTTTGAGAGGCAAGCTATATATAATATGCTATAATAACCACCGATAATATTGGCGCAAGATTGGGTTGGCTAACTTGCAGGAGATGCTCACGGCATCTCACACTGTTCTTCTGCGGGGTTCGTGCAAGATTTGTAAGGTTTGATCCGAAAGGGTGTTTGCACTCAACAAAAGTTTGAGGGCCGGAGTATGCAAGGGGCGCATGATACAGTAAAAGCAACACTCGCAGCAATAATCAGAGCTGCATTCTGGACATGAGAGGGGTGCAACATGGTGCAACAACAATCTTTTGGTTCGAACTCTTTCGTCGTTCGTTGCAACTCACTCCTCCCTGCCCGCCACCGACCCTGTCCAGGCCGTGGACCGTCCAGTGGGAGCCACCAGCGCCACGTCCCGGGCTCAGCACCGGACGGTTTGGCGATGAGATCTGTGGGGCAGACGATCCCATGGACCGTCATGGGCCCTGAGACTTCACCGGTGGAAGAACATGGACCCTGTTCCTCTACCATTCAGTGATTGTTTGGGGGATCCATGGATCCACCTGCAGGAGAGTATACGGTTTGGGCATTGGAGTCCAATGTGATGTCCACCAGCCTCAAGTCAGAGGACTCTTCTCAACTCTTTCATTGTCAAGTTGTTTGACATCAAAGAGGTAAATAACAATACCATTGATGACCTTGATCCTTGATTGCTATAGGCACCACAAGCATGTCAGCATGTCCACATTATGGGTTTTATGGTGATTCTAATTGTTCAATCAACATTGGACACAAAGGCCAACAGGACCTAGTGAAGAAGGACCAAGGGTTGACACATCCAATGCCAGTGCTCAATGTAATTGATGGTGCCATCCGCACACTCGATTTGGTGTCATGTTACCTACATCCCCCTACATCCTACATTTGTTTTTCACGCCCAGTGACCAGTCAACACATGCAATCAGCACGTCGTAGATGTTCTGAACGGACCCCAAGGTTGGGAGGTTTTTCACAGCCCTGCTGCCCTTCTGATGAACTGGTACAGTATGGGTTTGGACAGAGGCACCTCCAAGCAAGGCAACACCTAGAGACTCCTAGAAATCCAGCATCACCTCCACTGAGTGGTCAATCAGATGACACCGCCATCGGCTTTCTTTCCGCCCGAAGACTCGCTCAGCCCTTGGTGTCCGCGGCCGTTGAGGACCACGATGCAGCCGTCACTCAATGGTGTTGGCAAATAGGTGATGAGAGTAGCTTGTGGCCAGCCAGGCGGTGTGGAGACCCACAAGACATACTTGGACACCCAAGTTCCGGTGTCTAGATAGCCGCTACTAAGACTCATTGGACATTGGAGTTCCATATAGAAGGTGATAGTAGGTGTATGTAACCGCCACTCTTCTTAACCTAATTGGTTGTTGAGACTCCATGACACGATTGATGTTCTTGAGGCATGCAAAAACACCATGGATGGAAGGGTGACAGTTCCTGGTGATGTCTACCTGACACATGAACCATCATGAAACCTATCCAGTGGAATTGAAACATCGCACCAAAACGCACGGATGCCGGAACTGGCTGCTGCGCCCGAGTCCTTGGTCGTGCCACGGCGGCATGGGGCACCTTGAGGGGAGGCTGGGCTTGGCAGAGAAGCCTCAAATCGAGATTGACCAATTGAATTCCCAGACACTCCATGTATGCCACATTGACCTCCAAAACCACCCCAATGCAGGCATATATGGCATACATGGAGTTTTTGGGATTGATGTGCAGTGCTTGGAACGTGTCGTGTACATGACTTCTATACGATCCATTTTGAGCCCCATCTACGACCGAGCCCTGAGTGCCAGAAGCTCAACCGGATGTGAAAACCCCAATGGACAAACGAAGAAAGCATCCGATGCATTGCCTCTCGAACTCACCTAAATATGGCAGCTTGGCCAACTGAGGTGCAGATCCTCTCCTTGAGCAAAGGGGTGGTGAGGCAGCACATGTGGGGCTGAGCAATGGAAGATCAGCATGTTTGCTAGGAGGACATCGTCTAGAATGCCCCCAGTGGCAGTTTAGGATGTGTCCCCCAACGGTGACTGGCCAATTCTGAGGTGTACATGATGGGCCAAGTCTTGGCACGAAGGTCCTAGTCCAAGTCTTGTACACTGTACACACTTTGACAAAGATTAGGCAGTGTGGTCAAATCTGGCTGGATGTGGGAAAGAGACTCGGGTGGTAGTTGGCAAAATCGGTGCACTACTCGTTTTGAAGAGGAAGATGCCACAGGATGGTTCTGATCCGTGATACAGTGATGAAGGTATCGCCCCCCAGGACCTAGGACATCATGGGTGCAGAACATGAAACATTTATTGAGCATTAGTATGCATTAGTAGTCTTTGATGCCGCCACAGCACCTCGTAACAGCGTATCTACGCATCACCAACCCCTGGTATCAACATCACGCATCGCAGAAGACCATTTGCTTTTGTCTTGTTTTGAACGAAAGGGCTTTTATGACGTAGCAGTAATGTGGCATTCCAATAGACCTGGTGTGCTGGCTTTTGGGGTCATCCCTTAACCCTAAAACTGCAGCATGTTGTGGCCCCCAATGGATCCACTCCAATGGATCGTTCCCCTCGTCTCCAAACACGTCGCTCTCGACTCGCCGCGTCTCTTCAGCACGCGACGCCCGCGAGCCGGTCGACGCGGCCGGCGCGACCTCGGCGGGGCCGTTCGTCCCACGGCCATGGCGCCCAAGCGGTCGGCGGTGGTGGACGTGTTGGCACGGAAAGGCGCGTGACATGCGCAGAGGGGGGGAGATGGACGATGTGGTGGGTAGTAAGATGACGAGCAAGGAGGCTTACCGCATCTTAGCACCTTGGAGATGTGAGTTTGAAGTGGATTTGGTGGGAGATTCGGGTAAAGCTATGCCAATCGATGGGTGCAAGGCAAGGTGCCACAAACGGGCCCAAGCAACGGAATAGCTGACAGTGACAGAGTTACGTTGATGTCTTGTGTCCATGTCTCGTGTGGCATCCATTTTCAGCTCTCCATGGTCTCGGCTCACCAGACGGGGAGAGGCTACTATGACGAGATGACCAACACCTTCGAGGAGATCAACGAGAAGCGCGACATCGTCGAGAAGGACCGTCCCGGCCTGGCCTTCCCACGGACGGGGACTCCAGGTTTGTTGAACGTTGATAGCCCAAAGGCCCAAAGGACTTCTGACGATGTGTTAAAGGTCCTGCGAAGAGGTGAGGGCTTGATTGGGGCATGAGCTTGAGTGAGTGAGTCAGTCAGTCAGTAAGTAAGTAAGTAAGCATGCAGACTTCCGTTTGGACAGGTTCTCATTACATAGCAGTCTCTGGGTTTGCGCACAATCAATCCGGGCCCGCGAAGCACCTGGACCTGGCGTGCCAGAAGGTTTGCTTTGCACTCATGTCACGATAAGCGATGTTATTCTTTTGTATCCAAACCATGCGCGCAATGCCCAACACTAATTCATATCACTCAACCAGGCCCATTGTCAACCATCATCACCAACCTCTCCGCCCATGGAGTCGCAACATGGAGATCCTTCAAATCTTTGTCAGCCAGACGTGGCGTAGCTGCTGGGGCAGGCGAACTTCTTGCCCCTTGCATGTAGTGAGATTCATCACCAGTCTACCAACCCAAAGGGTGGAAGTTGAGAAATGCTGGCAGGTGAGTTCCTACGGCCGGGTGTGGAACACCAGAGGCAAGATACCGTATGGATCTTTAAAGCCTTCCGGCTACTGCAGGGTTCAAGTTCTGGGAAATGATGTTTATGTGCATCGGTTGGTGGCCTTGGCTTTCCTGGGCCCTCCGCCTGATGAGGCGACATGGCAAGTGCATCACCTTGATGGAAATCCCTCCAACAATCGCTTGCACAACTTGGGATATGTGACTCAAAGCCAGAACATCCTTGCCTCCTTTGCCAGTTTTTCCAGGCGTTGTGGCGGAGCTCAGAGGTCCGTGCCTGTGGTGTGGAGAGTTGTGGGGTCCCAAAGCTGGACAACCTCCCCATCAATGACGCACGCAGCAGCACAGCTTGGCATCAGCCTGAGTTCAGTTTCAAGGGGCTGCCATCAAGGCAAAGCAGTAAAAGGCTATGAGTTTCAATCAGCAGTGGAGACAGGAAGACTGGAGGGAGAGGAATGGCGCCAAATGTATGATCCTTTTTCAGGCCTTGAGGTGCCTGGACGGATGGTGAGTTCACTTGGCAGGATAAGGTCGCAAAGGGGTCGGTTGTCCTGGGGGTACCTGCACCCCACTGGCTATTACATGACAAGTACCAGCTTGATGTCCACCGTGCGCCATCAACGTGTGCATCGGCTTGTAGCATATGCATTTCTGGGGCGGCCAGAGTCCAAGACATGCAACTTTGTCAATCATAAAGACTTGGACAAGCGAAACAATGCAGCTGATAACTTGGAGTATGTAACGTGTTCTGAAAACATGGCACACTTTTATGCAAATACAAGCAACCGGAAGAGTGTCAACGGTAGACCAGTGGAGAGCAGCCTCAAGAGCCAAACAGTTTGGACGAAACATCCATCTATCCGCAATGCTGCCAGTGACCTCGGCATCAACAGACAGAGCATCTACGATTGCATCAATGGCAAGCGGGCCAACGCTTGTGGCTACGAATTCAGGCTTGCAGACCCTCCACCGGAGATATTTCCAGGCGAAGAATGGCGTCGGGTTGATGTTGCGGCCCTACGTCAAGAGAAGGACATCCGAAAAGGCAAGTGATCTCTTCTTTGCCATTCGACAGCTTTGCATCAGGAAGCAAAGAGACTTGGAATGCTTGGCCTGCAATGGTACCTCTTGGCTATTCTTGGCTATAGAAGTGGCATCCGTGTTTTAAGTTGTTTTCATTTTTCCTCGAGCACCACCGACTGCTCCAGGAGCTTCAGGAGTTGGTGGAGGAGCGGGAAGAGCTCGTGAAGGCCATTGCCGAACTGCAGGCAAGGCTGGAGCAGATTGCAGTGTCCAACAAGGCCAATTGCAAGGCTGACTGGGTGGATTGGGTGGTTTGATTGAAGTCTGTCAGTGGGGATTGGGAGTTGGTGTCAATGGTGTCAATGGGTAGGTTTGGTCGGTTTTGGTGGCTGTGGGTGGGTGGGTGGGTAGTCTTGTTTGGTAGCGGTAGTCATGCGGTAGTCGTATGTTGTTGGGGATGAATGGCAATTGTGGATGAGTTATATAAGTGGGAAGATGCCATGGCCAGTAGTCGGAGGGTATTGCCGAGTGGTGGAGTGAGGCCCATGCATGTCACAGGCGGGAAGACCTTTTTGTTGCATGTTGATGTGCCGCTCTTCGTACATACATTTGGACAACAAAACTGTTGCCCTGCAATATGTTTCTCAAGTTTTCGATTCCGATCAGGAACTGTGGGGTGCAATGTAATTGCATCACAAGGAAGCAAGTTCGGTTCACGTGAGTTTAAGCTACGGAGATTGAGATTGAGAATTGAGTTGGAGCTGGTGTTGTCAGACACACCATGCAGAAGGTTGACAATGATTGCGACGAACTGCGACTATAGACTCTGTATAGCACCCAGAAATAGGCAACAAGCTATTCCAAAGGCAAAGAGCTTCTTCAACCTGGATTCCTCAATGATGCTTAGACTCCTGTGAGGTTTCCAACTTCGTGCGTGCTTCATCATGTCGACCATGCTTACTTCACTAGTAAGTAACTCCAAAGGGCCCGTATTCAAATCGATACGGATTCCCCACCACAGCCGTTGTCGCTCCATGTCGCTCCCACTTCCGGTCCAATCCGCCAGACGCTCCGGAAGACGGAGCGGATCCTCCGGCAGCTGGAGCAGGGCGGCGCCGTGGCGCGCGCCGCGCTGCGGAAGCTGCTGCTCTCGCGGATGACGCTGGAGGAACGTGTGGCCAAGGTTCGAGAGGCGGCTGGGGTGGGTGGGGAAGGTCCGGGGGAGGGGGGCAAGAGCAGATTTGGATCTGATGCAACAGATGCAGAAGTTTCGACACTCTTTCTAAGAAAGAGTGTGAAATTGAATCTAGCAGGTGAAGTCATGTGCCACTCCCTCACAGCCGTGAGGTGCGAGTGCATCCCTTTCCGTTTTTAGTTCATTCATGTGTCAAAGATTTCGATGTTTTCTTGTGCGGTGCAACCCCACCTGGTGATATGCTTTCTCTTGCGGAAATGTCAGTGAACATGGTTCACAAATTCTGGACTAGCTGCATTGCCAAATATCCCGTAGCCGTAGCTCCAGCAGGAAATCACCTGAGGGGCCCGACCGTGGAAACTTCCGACTGATCCGAGCCCAGGACTTCCAGCTGAGCTGTAACTGGCCGGCTTCCCCGGTCTCACGACAGAGACTGAAGAAGGAAGACTTGACCATGACCAGGAGAGGGACAGAGCTGGTGTCAGCCAACGGAAATCCATAAACCGATGACCAGATGATGATCATGTCCATGAACCATCAGAAACCGATGATTGTCCATACGCCCATATGGGTGGAGGAGTCTTGTTTCGCGCTCATGTCGCGTGAGTTTTACATTCCACCTTGGGAGGTCGCGTCGGATGGGTGGGAGGTGGCTGGACAGCGTGGATGGCAACTCTAGGCCCAAAAAGTGGTTCGATCGCTTGGGCACCGATGTGGAGCGCATTTTGGGTTCATTGGAAGCTGACCACGGGTGGGCGATTTGCGCGATTTGCTCGCTCGTGGCAAGGACCGAGGAGGATGGGAGTGACTTGGATGACAGAACTTGTGAAGAGCCAAATGGGTGACTTCATGAGGCGAGCCGTTTCCTAATGATTTAATATGGTTGTGGGTCTCAACATGCTAAAACGTTGAAGGTAAAAAAAATCTAGTAGACTATGGTGACTTGTCTTGACAAGGACATGCACCCATTTATGCGAGGACACCAACCCCCAACATCCACAACTGAGCCCAATTCACGGCATTCAATGGGTGCTCTTGTTTCTTGGAGCCTCCTTTCAGTATGTTTAAGTACCGTTATATCAATGATTTTGGATGAGCTGGCTAAGACTTGTGACAGCCCCACTCAGTCCATCTCTCCAGTCATCTCTCCGATTCGCGCTCGGGCTGCTTTCGAGAAACAAATCCAATTTGACTTGTTTTGCGCCCCCTCGCTTTTCTGTACGGCATGGTCCTGATACAACGAAGGCACCCTGTCTAAACAATCCTCCACTACTCTGCTGGTGAGAGAAAGTCATTGACCCGACTTTCAAACATGTACATGGTGCCGGCAACCGCAATCGCCTTGACAGCGACACCGAAAATGACACCATGGCTTCATGGTGTGAACTGAAACTAAGAACCTGATTTCCCAACTCCCAGGCGAAGTGGTGCTTCCCATGCGCTCCTACTGCGCCACCGGCATCGAGAAGCCACCGGTGATTGACGCTCGACGGACTTGCCCCCTGAGCATCGGACGAACGATGCGGGGGTTCCAGGACCTGGGCATCAGAAATCATCTCCAGCGTGGATGTGGTTTCAAGGTCTTTATGGCTTGGTGATGCTTGGGGCTTTCTGGATGTGGGACCTCCAGACTCCAGAACATGAATTTCAGAATCACCAAGTCCAAGTCCAAAAGCTCCACCACTTCCAAGAACGTTGATAGTCACAAGTTTGATCACAAGGGTCTCAGACTGGGGATCCCTTCGTTTGGGTCCCCAAACCGGCCGTCTCCGGCTCCATATCCTGTGACGGCGCTTCATCTCCGCAGTCGGTCCGACCTCGGTTGTTTCCGGTCGTCCCAAGTCGGTCCATCCGGGAAAAATCACATGGAACCTGACACCCACTGGCTTGTAGAGGAAAATTGTCTTCCAAAGGTCCATGACATCAGGTTCCATGTTAATGTTCCCGGGTGTAGCACTATAATGTTATGTACTAATTAGTAGCCTTAACTGTTTAACAGCAAAGGATCTATGAATTTTTGGTCCAGGGGTCCATTTTCTCATGTTTGGGGTGCCAAGTGGAAACCATTGGACGCACAGACTGGTGTAGGGAAGTCGAAACATCATGAACCATGTGACCACTCTTTTTCGGGTAATTGCCCCATTGCCGTCATGGAGAACAACGCTCCGGATGTCCACCTCCCTCTCCAAGGTCTACTTTCACGGCGAATCCTACGTGGCTGGCACGCTGGACACCCACGACTGGCTTTGCTCGGCCCTGGCGCAGCTGTCCCAGGCGGCGGTGCTCAGCGTGGAGTACCGCAGACCGCCCGAGGCCGGGACGTCGTTCTGCATGTGTTCGATACGTTTTGAGGACTTGAAGTAGTGGTGAAACTCTCTGAAACCTTATGCAACAGTATAGCTGGGTTTTAAACTTACATGAAAAGAGAACCCACCGGCTGCAAATGCCTTTCATTTTCCCCCAGATGAAGCAGCTGCGGCTTTGGCATACCGGCAGTGACAAGAGATCTGCCAACTGCCAAAATCTCAAAGATTGCCACACGTGGAGATTGCCAGTTTGGTAGGTACTCCTGATGATGGATACGGTTTGGCACATGACTTAGGATCCCTTTGTTTTAGAATGCAAAACTTCAAGCAGAACATGGTCGTGAAAGAACCACAAGGCCCTCCCATCAACCTATGCACAAAGCTCGGCGCAAGTGTCCAAGCTGTTGGACAACACATGTTCAAGCACACTAAACCAACTGGTAGGTCAACAATAGGATCATCCAAATCCTTTGATTACCAATTATTCAATGTTATACTATTTGTATCTATTGGTGCACAAAAATATTTCTCAAGTACAAGGTGAAAATGGGTTCGGCCTCTCGTGCAATACGAAGCATGAACACACTCTTTTGGATTGTTTAGTTAGAGTCGTGCTGATCACAGCTGACAGAAGACACCGGGCCTTGACCCCTGGTCACAGCCAAGGATTCCAACCTGAGCCAGCAAGACTGATTTGGATTGCAACAATTTGATCGTCGAAGATCTCCAGGATATGCCATTACTTTAAGTTACACCATAAAACAGAAACAAAACCTACCCACTAGATATACACACTATTACACACTGATTGCTTTCAACTACTGTACCCATCAACGACTGGGATTAGGGGCACCGGGCTGCCTACCCCTCATCAAATCCCTGACAGCTGGAAACGCCCAGACCACGGTGCACTGGTCGCTTCTTCCGGTCGCATTGGTCCAGGTCCGCTTCCCGGTGCCGGTGGACGACGCCTGGGCGGCGCTCCAGTGGGCGGCGGCAGGCGAACGCAGGGGCGAACGGCGAACGGGGAGGACCCGGAGGAACCCGCTACGTTTATGATATTGTTTGTTTCGTGTAAGGCAACGATAGGCAACGTGCCTTTCTTTCCGATTCTTTTCGTGGTGATGATCAGTTGAATCATAGGTGTTAGTTGCTTCTTGAAAGATAGCGCTTTTTGTGAGGGAGGTGATGAACGTTTTTGGCCAGCATATCATCATCAACCCATCCTTGTTTTTGAATTGAAGAGTCAGAGATGAGAAGAGGACATTTGTGGCATGGGACAGGGTTCCTAATTGTTATCAAGAGTTGGCTTTTGGATTCAATTAGGAGAACAATTAGGAACCCTGATAATTAGGACTGGTTTGGTGTGGTCACAATTAGGACTGGGTTCCTAATTATTTGACCCAGGCCATCTTGGAGAAGTCTTGACAATGTTGAAAGAGCTCAGGATTCGTGCCCTGTTTTCTCCGTCCGATGGCTCAAGAGAGGTGGGGGCCAGCTGGCACATATATCCTGCACGTGGCATACAGGTCCTCCATGTTCTATCAGCCAGCATGGCTAAGAATTCCTTTGAATACGTTTTGCTAATTGTTGTACCTTCGTTGCTGGCCAGGCTTCGTTGATCCACGCTTAGAATCCTCAAGAAGACCCGGCCAACATAAGAAGAGGGCCATGTTGGATCAGTTTTAGACATGTCTTAGAAGGTTACAGTGGTTTCTATAAGAAGTTTAGAAGGTGTTACATGTTTCAAAAGTTTTCTATAAGAGGTTACATGTTTTACACAATCACCAAGAGGTGGTTTATATGGACCCCCATCTGTCTCAGAGATATAGTGGGGGCTTTGTGCCATCTACTCTGAAACCACTGTACTGCAAGTTCGCTCAGTCAATGATAGTCGCTTGTAGTGGCTGATACTCAAGTCCCAAGGTACATCCTTTGACCAGAATCTTTGTTCTTCCCCCATGGCATATGGCGGACACGCCGCCTGGCATGCTGGGCCATGGCCTGGCACAGTGTCACGTGGTGAGTATTTGGATCGGCTCTACAGCTGCTTGGCCGCCAGTCAACTGAAACGTTGACCTATGCTATGTGTTTACTCTGAGTTGTGGATAAACACAAATCCGGTTTGATTCAATCAAAAAGACGATTGCCTCCCATCATCTCCCATCAAACCCAGGTCAGCGGAGCGAACAGCTGGCGCCGGCTCGAACGCAACAAAGATCTTTGCGTGCAGCAGGCGCAGGCAGGCGTTCTCAGCTGGTCCTGAGTGAGCAGTTGCAGATGGTTGCGGATATACAAGCCTATGAGCCAGCATGCTCAATGGGAAGATCCAACCTAATTGAGTCACCAGAACTTCCCATGTTTCAAGTAGAGCTTGACCCAGAATGCTCAGCTGCGTGCAGGCATTCTAGAGAGCCATGGCCCTGTGGCTATGATGCCATTGTCGGGAGCACAAGTCGCCCATGGCATCGCCATTGATCAGCAAAAACCCTCAAAGGTGGGCCAGCACTCGCGGCAAGTGAAGGACAACTTTGTGTTTTGGCAGAGCATTGAGATGAATGTGGGATAATGTGGGTACATCGGGGTGAGATTATATAGATTGCGCAAGTAACTCTCCTTTGCCTGTGGAATCCAAAGGGGCCTTGCATGGCATAGCCACTTTGCCATATAGCATGTCCGTGAACCTTAAGTGAGTAATATTATATTATGGACTCTTAGTTCAGTCTGAATTGGTTTGTAAATGTCTTAGCTATAATTAGAATACTGTAATCGTGCTCTATCCATGTGACCAGACGGGAAGCAATGTCCAGTGATCGACAGCTAGGTTTGCATAAGTTCCCTTCCGACCATTTGGATGGCTGAAAGCTTCATAGTTCTTTGCTGTTGTGATTGTAGACATTTGTGTTTTTTAAAAGGTCTCTATGGTGTGCTGATTCTGGGCAAACTACTTCTGATAATCCTGAGGTGGATGAAGGGAAACGCAGTGCCTTCCAAGTTGTTGCCAAGTTCTTCCAACTCAATGGACCTTCCAAGTGCACCAAGATCTGTTAGTCCTACTCCCACCAGCCCAGCCTGGTGTTTTGTTTTGGACCTCCTGGACAGGAGAGGTCAGCCGTGTGAGGTTAACCGGGTCGTGGAGAAGTGTGGTCCTGCCGTGGTTCGGATCCAGACCGAGCAGAAGGTGGGCCTTGCGAGATGACCGTGGTTTTTTGGACATTTGTATGTTCAAGCTTTACTTGCGATGATTGAAGTCTAGTGACTAATATGTGTCAAGCGAGTTGAAACAACCATGGTGTGGTTATCAGGCAGCCGAGGTTCTAGAGAGTATAATGACCAACGTCGCTGGGTTGTCAGGTGTCCTTCAGAAACACGGGTTTTCCAAGGCTTTCCCATTTGGCCACCTAGACTAGAAGGAAGTTACCTCTGGAAAAAAAAAAAAACATTAGAGTCCACTCGTTGAAGCTTGGACCAGCAGGGAACACATGCAAGATGGTACAATGGAGTGCAGCCCCCAAACAGCAGATGCACCCGGTACTCAGAGCAGAATTGACTATCATCATTTGGCCGACTTTCTGCCTTTGGCAAGACGTCCTCGCGCTTGTTTTGGGGTGTCTCAAGAACCGGAAAACAGCACCGCTCAAAGCGCCAGGTGGAGCTGCCCGCCATCGCCAACGCAGACCTGTTCTCCTTCTTCTTCGGCCTCCGTCCCGACGCCGAGCGCAAGATCAAGGCGGAGCACCGGTGAGATCCGGCCGAAGGGGGGGAAACATGGCCAGGAGTGGAGCAAGAGTCTCCTTGGTCATGGTTGCAATGCACCAAGTCCCTACAATAGACTAGGAAAGTTGTTGGTTTTCATTGCGGCCGGAACAGAAAATAAGGTGAAAGGAACAGAACTGCCTCAGAGATATGAAAAGAAATAACTTTATAGATTGTGAAGCACACTGCAATTTCAACTGCATCCATGTATTTTATATTGCGAGAGAATGGAATTGCCAAAACTGCAGGGTCAAGGCTCTGGCTTCTGCGTGGATGCGGAAAAGGGCGTGATCTTAACCAATGCTCATGTGCCTGGGCCATCGTGGTGGGGCCATGGCATTATCTTGTGCGGCCCTTGGTGCAAGGGTTGAAGTTGAGTCCATTGCTTTGATTAGCAAACCCAGATCAATCCACATCATAAACTACAGATGGATACCTGACAGGGGGTTGTATCATTTTGCGTTTGGGTTTACCTCCCAGCAGACGGACATGCACCGTGAAGGTCCGGGATCGTTGGAAGAGCAGTTCCCTCCAGAACTCAGTGGTGTTCAGCTTTGCAGGGGGACATGCTTTGCGTCGTTTCTGCTTGATTTGACCAAACAGGTGCCCAGGTGCCACTTGGCCGATGTCGGGGCGATGTCGGAACGTGATTTGGTCGGGACCTGTCGGGCATGCGGGAATTCCGTCGAGCTTTTAACATGTTGGATTGGAAGCAGGGTTTCCTCCTGAACATGCTTTGGCGCTTTGGGCCATTCGGGGAAGTGGAAAGTATGGCTCCAAAACAGCTCACGTACTTGTAGATGTACGTAGCGTACGTCTCAGAATGATGTAGACATATGTGGAATCTATAGTGAAGTATGTGGAAGTAAATGGGTGGAATCTATAGAATTATAATTATGTGGAAGTATAATGGGTGGCTCTTCACGCCGAGGTGGTCCAAAGCGCAGACCGCATCACCGCGCACTTCGCGGGCCGTCCGGGCAGCGGAGCACATGGTTCGCGCGGTGTGGGTGTGGAGTGTGAGCTGCTGGAGACAGATGAGGTGATCGACTTGGCAGTGCTCCAAGTGAAGGAGTGGGAAGTTCATGAGTTCATAGCGGCCAAGTTTGTGACATTTTCTGCAAGATGAAGATGGAGCATTTCCACGTGAAACTGCTCGCGCATTCAAAATCAACGCGTTAATGGTTTTGAACAGGTGTGTTTCCTTGTAGGTAGATGTGGTTGCAGATCGTTGTCTCCAGGATAAGCGGATTTTGACTTTGTATTTTATACTGTCAATTATAACCATTATATACTCAATTAATTATTACTAATTGGAAATGGTAGTAGGCCTGGGGCAGGTGTGAGCCGTACTGACACCTTAATGAGTAGGGACATGTGACATGCACAGTGTGGTAATTATGAAAATAACGAGCACTTCCCAACAGCAGTAGGAGCTTCTAGTATAGCATGTTACTGCTGCTGCTTTTTGTTCTTCCTCCATGGCTTGCTTGTGCGCCCTTCCAGGACAAGTCCAAGTTGCCCTTGCCTGCGATGTCCTTGGGCAGTAGCGAGACGGTGCCTGAGCCGGTGTTCAGACAGACGAGTCGAAAGTTCCAAAGCGAAGACCAGGTCTTAGCGAGTATCTCGCTGTGACTCAAGAATCAATAAAGTGGATGGTTTGGCCTCTTGGAAGACTATTGTCCTGTAAAAACAGATGGTTGTCCACGGTCTTCCACTTCTATGTTTAGGGAGTCCGAGTGCACAGCTGCAGCTTCAGCCGTCCGCAACACCACGGACCATGGCACCGTCGCGGCGTCAAACCCGTCGGCCGCTGAGCCTAGGTGAAGACCGGCGATTGGACCATCGTTTTGGGAAATCCCTTGGGTTTGCAGAACACCTGCACCCTGGGGATCGTCTCCTCTTTGGACCGCTCCACTGGAGAGACCGGCTTCGACTGGCACCTCGTCGGACTTCCATTCATATCCGCGCGGGGGCTGGGAGGTGTATCCATCACGAGGAAGGTCCAGAGCTTGGAGTTTTCTTGGTTATAAATCACTCAGACATACTCAGACACTGTTCATGGATGAGAGAAAGGGCTAATAGACCCAAGGCTATGGAGCACAGCCTCGCATATTAGCCTGAGAGTCAAACCGCAACCAGCTGACTTCAGGTTGACAAAGGCCAAGTGGAGGACCCGTGCCCATACCTTCAGATTCCATTTTGATTATGTTGCAAAATGCATGTGTAGGATTAAGTGGCTTCGGCTCGTCAACTCGGTGCTGATGTGAAACGTCGCCGGAGGACGGTTTCCTTGATCCAAGGATGAGACATCCCTTGATTCAGACTGACGCGGCCGTGAATCAGGGCAACAGTGGAGGGCCGATGCTCAACGAGCTAGGCGAAGTGATTGGATGCTCAAACTTTTCCAGCAGAGTTGTCTTTTGGGGTTAAAATTTTGTCTTATTGAAGGTGACCATGAGTTGCGCTCGCGTGTTGAAGTGTCCATGTTCATGATGAAACCGCAAAGTCCTCAAAGCAATACCTCAAACAAATGCAGCCCAAAAGCACCAAGGAGCGAGTCTCACTGTACCATTTGTGTCGCTTTTGCTTTGGCAACTGGATATGATCCTTTGCGTGGCCGAGGCATCATCAGCATGCGTGCCCTCTTTGGCGAAGGCATCGGCTTTGCGATCCCGGTGGAGTCCATCAAGGGGGCCTTGCCCACCTTGCTGGCACGGAAGAAGGTGCCGAAAATACGAAGAAAGGGGATGGCAGAGCAGGGCTGGATTTGGCTACGCTGTTGGTGGTTTTTGTCAGGGCCATCAGGGCCTCAACAGGAACATACAGGAACCATAGGTCATAGGTGGGCTTTTTCCGTGAGACCAGAACCGCATCAACTGCTGGCGGAGTGTGAGTTGTCGTGGTAGGATCGTCGGCACCAGTTGAAAGGCTAGCAGAACATCCCTCGGACTTTTGTCGGCATCACGGACCCAAGTTGGGCCTGCTTACTTGGGCCATGTTGGGCCGGGCCTTTATTAGACCACAGGCTTTGAGCAAGAGACCTTCTATATACCAGGTCGGCCGTCGTATGATCATCCGGCACTGATGTTCGAGAAACTCGGCGCACCGCACCGGGACATCTGGTGTTTGGCCGCGCGCGATAGCCAAGGTGCCACGGTCATACATTGGAGTGAAGAGCCTTGGACTTCACCGGCACCCATGCTGGTGTAAAGATAAACCATCATAAACCTAACGATTGTGCAGTGTGAAGAAAACACCGTGGAATTATTTCTATAGCAACTGCTTGAGCCAGGCGTCATAGTATCTAATATTTTGCTTTGTGCATGCCAGTCTTGTGGGGCTGGAAGAAATACTAAGCGGTCGCTGTGCAGTTTCTTTTCGGAGCTTTTCGGCGGTGGTGTATGTTTGGAGAAGTCAGTTAATTACCCTGCTACTATTTGCACACTGCACGGACAATCATCCGTCTTGTCATATCTCATCTATTCGGATGCGTCGGCCTCGGCCAGCATGGTGGTAACCAGGTGAGTCAGGTCTTGCAGGGCAGTCGCCACTGGCCCGAGGATGAAATTCACCGATGACTCGCCCGCAGTGATCGAGACAGTCCTGGAGAAGAGCCCCGCGAAAGAGGCGAAGCTGCAGGAAGAGGATCAGATCTTGGAAGTTCCTTGGGCTGTAAGGGACCTGCTGCGGACCTGCAGCAGGAAGTGGGTGCTCTGCGCTGTTTGGCTTGGCTGGTGCCATCATACAGTAGGTTATAACTTATAACGGTTATAAGTGAATAAAGGGATGGACACTGGAATTGGTGAAGCTGCTGACCAGTGTTCAATTGCGCCATCAGGGGTGTTTTTGTTCCCCAAGTCGCGCAGGTGTGAGTCTCACACGCACAAACGCAAAACGCATCATGGATGGAGCCGTGGAGTTGTTGGGCGTCGGCCGTTGGCCTTTTGAAGTGACTATAGGGCTCCCATTGAGAAGAAGCTGTCCCCACGAGCTGGCCAGAGGCAGTCTAGGCAATTAGGCAGTCTTCCAGATTTTCGGCAGGGATTTCTGGATTTTCCGCTGGTGGCGTGACCAGGCCCTATCAGGCCCTTGCCTCCAGACAAGATCTGAAGAATTTGGAAGTGACTTGGTCCTCCAACATTCCTAGACTTAGACTCAGATATTCCTAAGCTTTCTAGGTGCCAAGATCCGGGAAAACATCCAGCGCCCTTTTGCAGCTTGTGACGGATCTCATCGTGTGCCCAGGTGAATGGTCACAAGGTCCGTCACTTCGACCAAATACAGAAAGCTGTCCGGAACCTCCCAGTGGGAGGCCAATTGAAATTGAAACTGAAGCGCGGTCAGGAGAGGAGGGACTGCGTAGTCAATTTGAGGTGAGTCCTGTGGGTGGGAGATTGGGTGTTAGGTTCAAACATCAGGAGGTTCTCAGAAATCCTGAGATGCAGTTTGTGCATGAGCGCCTTTTTCCTGGATGGTTAGTTGATGAGTCTTGTGTTTTCTTTGTTCTGGTCTAAAGATGATTTTCAAGAAGTAAAACTCTAGACAACAAGAAAAAAACATGTGTCACACATTTACATTTAGCATCATTTGGCAATATTTGATAGATATGTTGGATCGAGGAGGGTCCGGTCACGATGGTAGACCATTAGCCTAGCTGAGTCATGTTCCGGGCCGGAGTTACAGAGCAACCCATGTGCCGTGGCGGCCGTGGCCTCCGAAAGAGCTAGGACTATAGCGTGTTGTTGTTGTTGTTGTTGTTGTTGTTCCAAACATGGCACGATTCATGTGGGAGCAGGGAACCAAACGCTACATAGCGGTGCAGTTCTAGTCCCCACGACGTGCACCGACAATCCACCGACCCCAGGAGTCCCTCACTGCCACAGTGACAACTGCTGACTTGCGGAAGCTGCGAGAGAAGGGCCAAGAGAGCCCCAAGCGCGCGAGGGTGGTGATCCTGCCATAAGTCAGAAGTTTCTAGGGCCAGATCTTGAATCCTGTTAAACCATCATGATAATTAGTGGATTTGATTTGATTTCAAGGATCGTTTATGCACCCCTTGGAACTTTCATGGATCAGAATAGATTGTTGATTGAATCGTTTGAATCAGAAGCAGCCTTCTTGAGATGTTTGGTGTGATTTGGACTTTAAGGCCTTAGGCAGGTAGTGAGGACCTTATGGGGCACTGGCCAAGGCGGCAGACATGGGATGCCAAGAGGAGATGACCTTCTAGGGGCATAGAAGACCATGAGGGTTGGCTGCTGTAATTTTCGGTAGAGTTCACATTCCGTTGTGCGAAAGAGCATGCTCAAGCCTCTCAACAGCTGTGCATGACAAGTTGGAGAGCCCTGTTGTTGGAGACCGCATGATCACCAAAGCATGGAACTCAACCTTTGAGAGACCCATTGCTGAGAGAAAAGCAGAAGCTGCTTCAGTCTTGCAATCCTGTGCCGACCAACCTCATTGGGAAGTACTGATCTCTATGCGGAGTCACCTCAGTAAGGAAAGACTCATCCCAAAATGCCAACGGTTCAGCGGGATCTAATGGGTACAAGTACCGTGTCTATCGTAGGGGCGTAGGAGGAATGTTTGACGTATATTTCGGGTACTTCTGGCAGTGTAGTACTTGCTGGAGATCCTGGGGAATCCTGGGGCACTCGACCACCCCTGTCCAAAACCTATAGATCCAGCCAGCTTGCAGCTAGCCAATGCTAGCCGTTTCCACTCAGGAGGCTGGCCATCCATGGATATCCATCATATCTCAGACTGACTTACAAATCGTTGGCAGTATCTTGTCCTCAAACTTCACATCGACTGCCGCACCTCACTGCACCTCACTGCTGCGCCAGGCAGCCTCGGCTGGCCGGCCCCAGCGCTGGCGGTCGCCGGCGACGCGGCAGGTGGCGCTCTGGCCATGGCCTGCGCGCTGCGGGCGCGCGCGGCCAGCGAGCGCGGGGAGGAGGAGGTGCCTGACCTGCGGGTGCAGGCGGGGTCGGGGGGCCGGTGAGGTTGCTGAGGTGTGACTTGAGGGTTTACAGCAATTTGGTGTGGTCTTTTGTGTAGTTAGTGGTTGTAGACCTAAGTGTCATGAGGCCTAGTTGTGACTGTGTGTCATTTGTGTAGTAGCTGTTTGAACTTATAAGATCCTGGGCCGTGCCAGACAAAGGCTACAGAATGAAGCAGGGCAACAACATTCAAGCCCCGTTTGTGGTCCTCAACGTTGCAGGGAGTTAACTGGACATGACTCACTCTATCTCGTTCTGCCCAGCTCCACATGCCACCACTCCATCCGCAGCCAGGTCCTATTCTACCCATGGGTCGATGTGAGGCGCGGAAGTGGCGACAAGAGAGAAGGCTTCAGACGACCAAAACCTGGCTCAAATCCCAGACAAGCAATATAATTAGTAGTTATCTCTGAGGGAATTGAGCCAAGAGCCTTGAGGGGGGTAAAGGGTGGTTTTTGGGATGCCTCTTCCAAACGAGTTTCCAGTTTAGTGATGGCCTGTGCTGGATCAAGCGGCTGCCAGATGGACCGTTGTTGGATGTTTTTGATCAATTCTGCTCCCCAAACACTCCCAAGAAAGTTGAGGACGTCAAACAAAATCTGGACCACTTCATTTGCTCGAGCCCCTGGCCAGCATGGTCGGGCCTCGAGCTCTATGAAAGTTGCCCAGTTGACACCCCAGAAGTCCAAAGTTTGCCCCAGTAGAGAGGGTTTTCTTTGGCATCATGTCAAAACTGATCCTTTCCTAGCATTCTGAATAATTTATTTTTGGGGATGGGGGAAACTTATTGGGAGCAATTATGAGCAGTTATATAGGATTCATCACTTCAAAGTTCCTTCTTTGATTCTGTCGAAGGAAAAGTTCCAAAACCAAGTTGTTGCAAAGCAAATCTTTGCATGAGGAATTTGGAGGCTAGTCGCGATGCTAGCCAGCAAAGGCAATAGATACAATATGCACTCCGAAGTTGACACCTTCATTCTTTCATTCATGCATTCATTTATTCATGGATTCATTCATTCTTCGACCGCTGTGCACCGGCGATGTTCGCTTTCTCGGACTGGCCATTCGCCAGGCCCAACAGTGATTCGATGCAGAGCTGCCGGGAGCCCAGTCGGTTCGCCGTGAAGGCTTCTTTCGGTGCGATAGAAAACACCACGTGGTCTCAGGGGGTTCTCATTGGGGTTCTGCTCTACCAGGTCAAGAAGACAACGATCTGCACATCCTCATGCAGGAGGACTTAGCCTTCGCCAGTGAGGTGCGATTCGTGGTAACTGCTGTCTTTCGGTTCGGGAAGGTCGTCAGAACGGACATGTTGAGGCCACGAGAGGTCCTTGGAACCGTTCCAAAGCCATTCTAAGCCTGCAAGAGCTATGCGAACATCGACACCGTATTTGCCATGTATTTGCCATTTATTTTTGAAGGCCTCCTTAACTAAAGTCTTTGGCCCATTTCACGGCCGACAGGTTGCCTTTATAGCGGTCTCGATGTTGCTGGCCCCTAGATGCCCCTAGCTCGCCAAATAGGTGTTTTCTCACCTTTTTCCAGGAGAAAGCCATCCAAGTGAGCAAGAACCACACCCTGCTACGGAAACAAATAACTGGTTTCCGAACAGTCTTTTTCAGAGCCTGGCGGCTCTACATCTTCCGCCTCCGGCTCGATGCGCCAGATCTACGGACCTCCACGTGTGAAGAGTAGCGAGGAGGAGGAAGAGGAGGAAGAGGACGACGAACCGAAGGTGGAGGAGTGGATGAAGGCATGAGCTTGGCGGCGTCAGCCTTGCGTGGTATCCGGAGGGGGGGTGATCATAGTGGGAATAAGCGTGAAACAATCGAAACAATGATGCATGTTACGTGTTGCAAGAGGAAGTCTTTTTGCAGGTTCGGTTTGGCATTTGGATGCCCAGAAAATCGCCAGGTGGAAGAAGCCTCACCGCTCTTAGCCGGCACCCTGCAGAACCTCCCACGGACCTTCCTCGCTGCTGGGCGTTTCGGAATGGGGTGGGTTGGCCTGGGCCTCGGCCAATGTGCATATGCTACACCAGCACAGAGACTCAAAGGGCTTATGCTGTATAGTGTAGATAAAGAGTTATGAAGAGGATTGAAGAGGATGTGCATGTGCTACAGGTGAGCCACAACCAAAACCTTTCGTAGCCACCAGGGCTAGTCATTTGTTCGTTTGATTTATGTTCATGTTGCGTTGGATTGCCACAAGATGCACACATGAATTGCATTGAATTGCACTTCGGCGGGGTGTCAACACATTCCCTCAAGTGCTACACCACGCCTTCATAGCAGTTGCCCCGGGTTGTCCAAAAGCAAGGCCCACCATCGGCCATCCAAGGATTAGTGATGTAGTGATGATTATTAGTACCAAGAAAGAAATCCTTTGTCAGCCGTTTCTCGCGCCAAAAGCTCAAATACTTTCGCTTTATACCCAGTTACAAGGATGGCTGGAGCGCTCCTGCCCTGTCCCTCAGCGACGTGCACGGCCTTCAAGGCCTATGCGGCAGATGATCTTTTAGCACCGGACTGCCGTGCGCTAGTGAGCCGCCTGCGGAAGGAGCAAGGTGCCGAGGCCACGCGGTGTTTGGCGGGGGAGGCACCATCCGCTGAAGAAAACACATTGAATCAAAACAGGCTCTAGCATCATGAAGCTTGCAGCATGGCATGGCAAAGTTGGTTCGATGGATGGAGTTGGTGGAACACAAGCCGAAACCTTTCATGACAGGAAGAATGTTTGCATTTGTTTGGACTAAGATGGACTAAGTTGTGACCCATGATAGGTATTTTCATGTATTTTCACCACTGTGAGCAGGAGATACTGTAGTAACCTTTTTGTATAAAATGTTTTTATTATAGCCGTTTATTTGGTGAACTTTCACGAGCAACTAAGGGTACAACAAGAAATTGAAGTGTGGTTCAAAGAGTATCAAACAGTCTTTAATATATAGTTTGAGAAAAGAAGTTTGCTTAAATAGTTGCTGCGTTTTTGCGTATGATGTGCTCACCTGGATGTACAAAACCAAAAAACATGTTCAATACACCCAACTTGACCAGCTGCTTCCACAAGTCGGATCAACAATTCCAAGGTCCATATCTCCGACATGTTTCCTCCCATGAAGCAATCATGGAAGTGGACAAAATATGGACAAATTGCCACCTGAAAACACACAAAGTGAACAACTAGTACACAGGTGGTGTTGCACTTCCAAATGATCCGCCCTTCGCCGGCTCCAGGCGGTGCATGAGCTCGAGCTGCCGGGGCCTTTAGGCCCCGGCTTTGCGAAGGATCCCACCAAGGCACGGAGAATCCGGTGAAGTTGAAACGGGAATCTTGTGCCTTTTATACTGTAGACTATATGCATGGAATGGATATGGAATCGTTTATATGTATAGCAACACTTGTGGCGGGTGGTCGTACATGACCGCAGAAATGTTCTGAACAAAAATACGAAAGGAATTGCTTTGTTTTGCACCTAGACTTCGGAAAATCACACGAGCTGGTGCAGGGCTCGGTCTTTCAGCCAACCAATAAAGGGAGAGGTCCAAGGAGTTCTCAGCTGAGGCGGAACCATGACTTCGATTTCTTTTGTTCTACCCCTCATGGTGATCTTTTGCCCGTGTCCATGAAACATCCGAAGGCAAACCCGGGCTGAAGTACCGGTTCAGGGTTTCGTTTTTGGGGGACTAGTCCCAGTACTCATCCCCTCTAAACCCTAGTCAGGATTAAAAAACAAAAAACAACAACAACAACTCCAGCCTCCTGTGTGAATTCCCTTCTGTGTGTCACACAGGAAGGCGCCTAACAGGAAACACAGGAAAAGGGAGGCCCTCAACATTAAGGGAGACCCTTTAATTGTCCCTTAAGCTCTGGGATCAGTCACCAGCCTGGCCAGGCCGCCAGCTATGCCGCCCTGGCCGCCGCCGGGGCCTTTGCCAGCGGCGCCTTCATGGGCAGGCACGCCCCTCACGCGGCGGCGAACTGTCCAGCTGAAGTAGTACTTCAGTGGGATACTTAGAGGGAAGATGATGGAGGCTAGTTCCAACCACTTCCATTTCCTCCCATGAAGATGTGTTGCTGCTGTTCCAACTTAGAGGCAAGATGATGGAAGTAGGAGGCCGGTAGTGGATCCTGTGTGATTGAGGTTGGTGGGATGTAGGTGGTATGATGTTGGATTCTGGGTCAACTGCGCGTGTTTGCTTTGCTGTGTCTCGCAGTAGCGCTTTTGGGAAGACAACGTCAGGTGGAACTACCACGCTCGCCAGGAGGTGGAATCATCTCATGCATGTAATGTAGACTCTTCCCCGGTTTGAATTGGAACATCCTTTTCATGTGGGGGGTTTATTGGACCAAGAGCCTACCATTAGTCCATTAGCATAGATTAGCAAGAAAGAGATCCAGGCGTCCGGTGTCTATGAAAACCCGCATCCGGTGTCTTCACCAGGCCCCAATGAGTCCCATAGGTCCATACGTGAGGAAATGGATGGGGCATCCGGATGGTCATGGAGACATGTAGCATCCAACTGCTGCGTCGTTTTGACTTCGCGAAGACAAAAGGCGTCATTTAGACGTTTCACTCCAACCTGGTGTTTGAAAAAGAGCAGCTACTTTGGTCATCTTACAGCCCCCTGCAAAGCAGATAGCTTGTTCTTATTTTACTGAACATACAATGCGCGAATTAGCCCTGTGCCATTGTATTGCCCTTTGACCACCAAACCCTGTGCTGCAGCTGGACTCTTCAAAGTCTGGCCAGGTCGTGAACTGGCGGAGGATCATAGAAAGGCTTTCGCCGGCTGCTAGGTGCAATTTTTAGCTAGGGAGCGTCGGGCAAAGATCCTGGTTTGTTTCTGTGACGGTTTGGGTTTTGTCTCATCGTGAGCTCAACCGTCACCAGTGGTAAAGTCAATGCAAACGCTGAAAGTGGAGGAATCATGAGGAGCCCCCATGTTCGAGAGAGACCCAAAAGGCCCGCAGCAGGGAAAACGGAACAGATGCCTGGTACATGTTGACCCATGTTGTGATGAGTTCTTCTTCCGCGCGGGAGAAGGTTTGACTAAAGAAGAAGCCCAAAGGGCCGAACATTTGGCTCGTTGACAAGACAGCTGGTGACAAGACAGCTACAACACTGCTAGGAATTTGATGGTTCATTTGAACCCATCCAATGAAGGCTGACCCGGACCCGAAATGCGGACGGCCTGGGTTTGAGAATGTTCGATGTGGCTACCAACTCCAGTTATATATGTATCTACATGTATGTATATATTTATATATATACACATACTGTAAGTGTGGGGATTCTCAGTCTACCAGCCAAGGAGTTATGTGTATAGCCTATGTACAATTGGAGGGAAATCACATGTTTGGAATCGTGTTTGCACTGCGGTTGCAGTGATGCCACAGTAAATGACACAAACCCATAGCCCAGCCAGAACTTGGCTCGGGGGCAAAGGTTTGTACACATTTGGAATGACTGAGCCAGGAGTTTGTCCGGGGGATTGAAACGGCATAAGCAAGGATTGGTCCGACTAAGATTACATCACTGTCACTCTCCTTACCGCTTGGCTTCCAAGGGTCTTTGGAAGCTTCCAGAGTCCGTATGAACTTCCACAGGCAGCTGAAGAGAACAGTACAACGGGATACTTGCCCTCACCCGAAGATCATGAAGGGAATACCACGTTGTACCTGCAAGATTTGTGGAAACAACAATATTTTTTTGTGAATCACAGGTTTGGCCGGAGGACAGCATGTTTCAGGGTGTCAAGATGTGTCTCAAGATGTCCAAACTTAGTTTTGGTGCGGAGCTGTTCAACATGTATATAATTGCAACCTACTCTTCTAAATCCACGTCACATAAAAACCATTGTTGGAAGCCTTTGAGGTCCATTCTGCTAAGATCTTGGAAAAACACTTTCCTGCCAAGGGTATTCAAAGACTTGTCAGTGTCCTGTGTGGTCACCAGCTTGGAAGGAGCCGTGTCACCGTCTCACCGTTTCATGCGCTTGACCAGCGAAGAAAGGAGTTGGCCGCGCGCAGAGTGATGTGACAGGAGCCTCCAACAAATTCCAGCTTTCTACATCAACTAGCCAACTACTGGCGAACCCCTGTTCTGGATGTGTGGCGTTTCAGATGTATATAAATCCCGTAATTGAATAGGCATGGTGACTGGTGGAAGATGTGCACCTCTAAAGGAATTTGCTCTTCCATACTGAGGGTTTGTTCGACGAAGGTATGTTTGCTGCAGCTCAAGGTTAGGGAACCCGAAGCATCAAGAACCCCTCCATCCACCAATCATGGAAGTGGAAATCCCCTTTGTGGACGAGTTCGTGTAGTCTTCAAGGGCTTCGTGCCATTCGGCCTCCTCCGCCAGGCTCTCCTGGCTCTTCCGCGATGCGGCGACGGTCGCGTTGAGAACGACCTCCCCAGCTGCGACATGGAGCTTTGAAGTGAGGCGAGGAGGTCGTTGGGTGAGAGGAGGAAGGCCTGTTGGTTCAGGCGGTGAGACCCCCCGTCCTCTCGGAATATGGCATATATGTTTTTGTGACAATTTGCAGAAGGAGACCAGACTTTGAGCTGCAGCACCGTGTTGGGTGGTCACCTGTAAGAGTTACAACTTGGCCCTGCCGTGTGTACAGTGTGGTTGTGAAAGCTCTAATCGGGCGCATGCTGACTTTCTATCGCTGAGGATGCCGATCTACTATGCGTTGACCATTTACAGGTCGGAGAAGTGCTATGCTTCCCTGGTGTGCGAAAGTGCCTTTGTTCACACTGAGTGCATTTCATATTGGTTTAAATTTACACTTACTCAATCTAAACAACAGCCTCGTAGCATGGTAGTCAACATGCCCATCCCCAACAGCAAAGGTTCTTACATTAATTTTGCCATTGGGTCGTGGAGTGTCAGGTGAAATAAGAGGGGTAACGAGGGTGCTGCCAGCTGCAGGGGGTCCATAAGATGCCAGGCTGCCAGAGGAGCATCCTGCACTGGTGGAGGTGGAGGGCAGGTGCGGCGGGGGGAGATGTCAGGTTCCTGATTGGGATAGTCTCCCAATCGTGCCACATTATATAAATCCCGCTTGTTTGGAATCTGAAGCATGCCTCCCCCTAAGAGCTGCTGAATCGTGGTGGAATTGCTCATGTTTGGGAATTCCGGTGAGTGATTGATGAGGAGTCGTGATTGATCAATCTGTCAAGAATCTGCAACAGATCAGGTGTTTGGTCCTTCTGCCTTGCTTCTCCACTGATGGCCAAGTTGGCAAAGGACAGTTCTAAAATGTTCTAAATTTAAATATGAGTTCTATTTTTTCTGAGCTGGACGCATCCAAAATGCTATTCACTCAGCAAGTTCTTGTTGGCATCGAGTGATGTTGGTTCTTTTGTTCCAGCCATTCACAAGCACAGATGGCACAGTATGGTGTAGTATTGGTGTACTTCGGATCACTTTGAGCAAGTATTTCACATGCAACTCAACTGCAGGAACTAATGAGATACCATTAATTCCCCCTTTTTCCACGACCGGCCGTTTGACCCTTGTGGCACCACGGCTCGAGTCGGCCTGGTGCGGTGCGGTTGGCGATTCGTTGACCCAGGTGGTGGTGTCGAGCTTCACCCTTTCAGCCGCTGGGCGGGCGTTTAGACGTCGGCGTTGAGTGGAGCAGAAAGCGCACTTGGCAGTACGGGTTTGGACGTTGTTTGGTGCGCACAGACGTGGAGTTCATAATGATACGTGCAGTACAGCGTATAGATAGTCAAGGGGGGTCTATAAACCAACATTTGGGTGGTAGTGGTGCCGTATGTAATTATACAGTATATCATATATGATTCTGAGTGCATACTCTGAGTGCCTTCGTTCAGGCTGAGTAGTACTCAGTGTTCGCCCAAAGCACCTGAGAAGAAGGATGTTTGCATGTTTGCAGGGGCTCTACCTAAATATTGTTGGGAGACTTATATATAGAGATAGACCAGCAACCACCAGAGCAAGAGTTTGCAGGAGACTCTACCAACAATATAAAAAGATCTTTTGGGCCTTGGGGTCTTACCTGGTAGGTGTCGTTTTCTAGCTGGGACAGAAACGGAATTTCTGAACGTCATGTTGGGTGGGGGGGTCCCCCATTATAACAATAGGCCTTGCTTGTGAAGTGCTGGCTGGGTGTTCACGTGTGTTCACCATGTTTCTCCACTATGTGTAAGTGACCTCAATGAACCCAAAACTGTCCCCAACCCCTCAGGAGCATACAGCGCTGCAGCAATTGGCTTCACGTGGAAAGATCCAGTGTGATTTGATGCCCTGATGCCCCCTGGAGAAATGTTAAAAGATAAACCGAGATGTGTGATGCTCCTGCAAAACCCCCCGTCCCCCCCCTCAAAAAGATTTGAGATATGATCCAGCACCACGGAAAGGGTATCCATTAGAGGTCAAGTCAAGGGGTGTCCATTGGCCACCCCTTGGCATTCCAGGATTGGGATGGCTCATGGGGCAAACGGTCACCAGTTGACTCTGTCAGGTTGGAGTTGCCACTCGGGCACAGCTACCCCTTGCAGATCCGAGCCGTGCTTAGAGATGGCTCCTGGGCAACATGTGTGTGGCACGGGAGTTCCAAACGTGGACGTGGGGACGTAGGTGGGGAAGTGGTGGGCTTGAATTGGTATGAATTGGTAATTGGTGGTGAACCTGTCAACCCCACTGAAAGAGCTTCTCCATGAATGGAACCCTTTTGTGATGTGCTGTCAAGCCAGGAGGGCTCATGTAAAGGAAAGTCACACAAGGGATATGAATGGATATGAGATTGAGCCTTGGCAAGGTGTTAGTTTGGCCGGGGCCCATGTGCCAGGCACTTTCCTCAAAGGTCCTAAGCCTTTGACCACGTGAAGACATCGAAATCCTCAGGATTTGACTGGTGGGTTTTGGTGTTTCGAGCTTGTGGTTCGTCCCCAGTGTGCGTTGGATGAACTTGGAGCCCTTTAAGTATCCCTTGATGTCCGTACACACCTCGAAACAGTCATGGACATGGAAGTGCACAAAAAGGCCCTGAAAGGATGAATGACAATCTGAATACTAAGCAGGTGACACCATCCTTGTAGTCATGATGATTTCGGGAGTGTACATCCCTTCATATCCCTGGTATATCTCACGTTCTTCACCTGATCTCGGCTCAGATCAGGCTCCGATGTGCTTTGCTCCTCCGCGTGGAGCCCCTCCACCACGGTGGACCTGCGGCCGTTGGCGACGAAGAACGGACCGTCTCGCTTGGAGGAGCGGGCAGTGGACAAGGATCTGGAGATGAGGACGCATTATTATACATATATATAAGTATATATATATATACACATAAATACCTCAACCTGGGCCCCCCAAGGGGTGTCTACTTTGTCATAGCTCCTTAGAGGTGATTCGGGGTGTCCAGTAACCACCCCTCAGGGCCCTCCTGGAAGATACCTCATGTGGCAAGATCCTTTGACGATTGGTGTGCAACAAAGAAGCAGGACACCTCATGTTATAATGATTAGAGTATATTAGAGTTTCAAGGGGTTGAAGAGGTGAAGCTATGAACATGATCCATCTACCGGATTAGACGGGTGTGAGACCAGTTTGTGCGAAACCTACCCCAGAAGTCTCAAGCAGGCTTGGAGGAAATGGATTTGCCTTGGACCCTTTCTCCAATAAGCGTTGTTGGACATGGCATGTTCCTCAACTGGTGGAATTGCCTATTTGTGGGAGTGTGTGGTCAGTGTTGAAGACAGATTTGCACCCTGGCTGTCATTCACATGGAAGGCATTGGACCATGTGCACTCATGTGACACCACTGGGCATGTGTTCATTGAATAGGGCACATTGGCACAAACAGAAATATACCGGGGGCAAATACCGGTGCGAAACAAAAGAGAGACGTTTCTTGTGAATATGGCCTTGCGGCTGCATCTGCAACATTCTGCAACACATCATGTTCGCCCCAGAGCTTTTATCGGGAGCTTTGGTTTCGGTTTCCAGCCCTACGTTGAGTGTCAGGCTCCCAGCAAGCCGAACTTCCAGGCGTGATCGATGGGCGTGAGGAATTTTATTTGGAACAGCCTTCCCAGCTTTTGCACGGCCCACGCACAGCAAATGCTCACTTGTGCCATGCCTCACCGTGAAGAAACCAAGAGTTACATAGAGTTAGGGGATGTTGTATAATGGTGTATATATATATATATAGATGTTTGTTTGCATGAGAGTGATGTGATTATTCTCGGCACCGCCTTGTGATTGCTTGTAGGTGCAAGTGGCCCAAAAAAGACAACATGTTTTTGACGCCTGTGGGGCCGACAATTGAAAGTTGCATTGCGATCGGTTTGGGGGCAACAAACCGTGGGTCACCAACTATTTGGGTCATGCGACCTTTGTCAGGCAGTGGAACATGCTGCCCACTCAGTCCGGGTTACTCCCCGGCTATTCGGACCACATGGAACCCCAAAACCACTGTTCTATTCTTTTTTCGAGGAAGCGGGAGAGTATTCTTTGTTCCCATCCCGGTGCTTTCCTTTTCTCATTTTCTCCGGAGAACCACTCCTATTCGTGTCCATTGCCTCGTGAACGGCGCCACAGGAGTTCCTCCGAGGCATCTCTCCGGACCGGCGGAGCCCTTATAGGCGGAGCCCCTTCGGGTAGTGGGGTGATGGTTGGGGGTCTGGTGGTGGCGGTCTTCATCACTCGGCCATACGTCAGTCATTGGCAAGTACACAATATATATGTAATATATATATATATCTACATTAGCTTTAATTAGCCATATATCCCTTTCAAAGGCTCGATGTTTGGCGTTGCGATGATGAACATGTCAATTCTAGTGAATTCGGATGACTCAATTGATGAACGACTCTGAGATGGGTCACTTTAGAGATGGACATGGTATGTAATACCTTCCGAAGGGATGGCCATTGTTTGTCGGTGTCAGCCGAGTGTCCAAATTTTGGCTCAGGGTGTTCCTATGAAAAGACATTCAACAGGGTGGACTTGGGGATGACAAAGTGCCTCAGCAACCTTTGTGCAATGATGGGTATGTACGTGTGTATGTGTGAGGGTAATGTCAGGGCAAATCATTTAGAGTGTGTTTGTTTGTTTGTTTCATGCGACCTCCAAACCCAAACATGGAAAGGCATCGAAAGGGCCGAATGAGCACACATTTGCATTCTGAGGATTCTCATCGGAGGACCGCTTTCCGAGAAAAGATCTGGGAAGTGCACTGCAGTGGTTCAGATCGAGTTTCTAGTAATCCCCGACTGTCCGACGGTGTGATTCAAGTGATTGGGTCCCTCCATGCTTCGGACAAACCTTGATCAAACTCACATGGACCCCATGGTCCATGGTACCACCAAGTGGGAACCTGCGCCCAGGCGGGAGACATCGGACGAGCAGCGTACGGGAGGAGAGGGTGGTTCGGGTTGTTCGGGTTCCATGTGACGCAAGGGTCAGGTAGCGAGCATGATTTCTATGCATCTTTGATGTTTCAGCTTTCAACCAACCATAGAAGATGTGTTTTTGTGTGTCATTTAAAGGTGTTTTGACTCACACACTGCACTTGTTTGCAGTTGACATGACACACCTGGAGACTCGATTTCTGCAAGGCTGTATAGGCTCCAAAGCTCATCCAGCGACTGCTGGGACCCTGTCGATTGGTTTGTCGCAGGATCCGGAGGATTCCCTGCAACATCGCCTTCGACCAGTGCAGGGGATGCAACAGCCACCGACCTTCTCACAGAGTCCGGATCTTCAGTTTGAGACAGAAGTGTTTGGACTGGACTGAAGGCCGAAGGCAAAGAATCTTTTGATGGGTTGTGATCCGTTTGAGCGAGACACGTGACATGTCTTTTTGCCTTCGGCCATGAAATATTGGAGGAAAGATGAGGAAAGCGTTTGCTTTTGTTGTGTTGGGGATGTTTAGGATATGGGTCACAGGCGTCGGGTGTTTGGTTGCCATGAGGTGATCATGAGTCCTTGTGCTTTGGCAACAGAAGCAGGAATTATACTGGAGGCTATAAGGACTAAGGAGTTAACGGAGCTACCTCAAAATTAATCCGGTCCACCTATTAAAAAACACTGCCCCCCCCCCCTAATAAGGAAACCTCGGTCGCATTTTTTCTAATAGGGGGTCCCTGAAATCGGGGGGTCCAAAATAGGTCACCTGGGAAGAGCTTCAAAACCAAAAAGTAAATCAGTAAAATTTTATACAAAATCCTTTATTAAACTCGTATCAAAAATGCAAAAAAGCTCCAGATCGAAGGGTCTTCCTTTTCCCCTACAAAAACCTTCATTAGAACAGTGATTCTTCAGTAGACTAACAGCCAAAGCTTTCGAAAGGTGATGTCGCTGTGCCATGCGGTGTTGCATCACCTCGGTGGCAAGTGCTTTTGCGTGAGTCCGTGCCATTGGGGGAAGGAAAGCCTGCTGGTGTAAGCGCGGCGTGTCATGGTGGATAGACAGGGCGGACAGAGGTGGGCAGTCACGGTTGTTTTTGGAACCTAATGTAAAAAACTCCTCCAAAGTCGGCAATGTTGGTAGAATTGTAGCGGCTTGAAAGGGCGGTAATTTAAAAACTAAATATAAACCGTATTTAGGGGTTTCCGACATGACTTTTTTCTAATAGGGGTCCGTTTTTTAATAGGTACTCGGGATTACGGCGTTCCAAGTCATCAAGCAAAGTAAATCTGGTAGAAAGCACGTTTGGCCTAAGTCATCAGGGATAATATTGCAAAACAGGACTTCTAGAGCAGGTTAGAAAAACAAAAACGATAAAAAACAAGGATTCAGGAAAATGACCAAGGACTTTTGCTGGAAACCTTGGCTTAGAACCCCTGTGTCATGTGATAGTTCCAGTCATTTCACGATAATTCCAGCCAGGGTTGCTGAAAAAGGGACCAACTGCCCAATGTCATGATGCATGCGACTTGTCTCTCACACATTGATTTCAACAGTTGTATTTTTCCAAGTCTATTTTCTGATTTCTCCGTGAGGGGGGTAAACGCATGTAAGCACGCCTTTTGACCAGGCACATGAGTCAGGAGTTGGCTATCCCAGCCGACTATGTCACTAGACCTCAGTATAAAAATAAGTAAAAGCATCCTTGAAGGTGTTTTTTGTTTGGTATGAAACACAACACCGCTTGGGTCATGTGACATCATGCGACCAGCGAATGAATCACCAAAAGATCGCTATTCAGCCGACATACTCTTCTTCTTATTATCCTTCTTCTTCTTTGTTTTCTTCTTCAACTGGTTTGAATCAATAAGCAGGTTTGAATCATTTTGGCGCTATGTTGCCTACTTATTTAGGAGTTTGGAAGACTTTTTGAGGGCATGCAATCATAGACCGTCGGTAAAATATCTATTTATACTATATATCTAATACTTAATTATACTTATTGATTTTGCAACTGATTGTAATTATATGCGTTGTTTTGGGGGGCGCTGAGGGCTCATCATAGTAGGCTTCAGGTCCATCAGGTGTGTCGAGTGTTCCTATTTTGGGGTTTGGATTCTTTGTTTCTGCTCCCAGCCAAACACCACATAGCACCCATCTCGTCCCGAACTCACCCAAAAATACATGTGTGTGAGTGTACGTGTTGTTCTTACGGTTTCGACTAGGCATTCCGACCACAAGCTAATGCCCGTGTTTTTGCTGTTCGGAACACCGAGATTCCTGAGGCCCCAAACGCCATCCGCCAGTCCGCGGAAGCCGCGCGACGTGGCGGAGCTTTGGAGTTCAGAACGCGCCAGGCGCTGCGTGAGTTTTGACACCAAAGTTTTGTTTCTGATGATTTGATGTTTTTGGAGCTCTGGAAACCATAAGTGGAGACGATATAGACTAGAGACCTGGGGCCGAAAAGGATTCCCAGACGGCGCTGGCTTCGCGGTAGAGAAACCAATGGTCAGGTTTGCTTCAGGTAGGGTTTCCTAGAGTTGTCAAAAGGGCAACACAAGAGGTTTCATTACTATTCATGATTTTCGGTAGTTGCGCCTCCACAAATGGTTGCCCAGTTCAGGTTTGCTTGGGGGAGGGTTGCCACACTTGTTGAGAAGCCAACAGCCTGAATAGAAGCATCAAGAAATGGCCGTTTTCAGTGTTTAGACATCGTGTCGGAGTTGTCCTTAATTACCAGAGTGTAACAAGTTGACATGTTGTAACATGATTAGCCTGTATTGCTTCTTGCGTTTGTTCTTGCATTTGTTGTAAGAGCTTTAGAGTCAAGGACGTCAGAAACAACGCTTCGTTACTGATTTTGACCCCTTCACTTGTGTATACACTATTGTACACCTGTTGGTTTGCGGCCGGACCATCCTCAGGTGCCAGTATGAGGGCATGTTGTTCATGCATTTTTGGCACGAGCCGCTTTCGCTCCAAAATTGTGATTCCAGATTCTATTTGTGTCTGTGCGGGCTTGCTTGTTTGTTTGTTGACTCTTGTCGACGGACTATGATTGACTCACGTATTGAACATGTTACAGTATTCTTATTTTGAAGTCAAGATTGTACCTTCGGGGGAAGGATGTGAGTTTGTCCTGGAAATGAGTCACAGTTGATATCCTGAGCCTGCCACCAACCAGTTCCGGACCACACTCAGTGTTTTCCCCAGCAAACCTGCAGGAAGGCCTTCTTCGACTTTCTGCCAATGTCCATGGTGGTTCGCTGGCGTGCCACCAACGGAGTGCTGAAGGGGCAGGTGGCTTTGTACTTGCGAGCTCGCGCAGGCGGGAGAGATGCACACCAACACGAGTGGCCGACTGAGGTGCACTGCACTCTGTACTCGGCGTACTCGGCGCGGCGCAGAACTTCTACTTGTGTCGGTAGCCGGAGGCCATTTTTTGGTGCAAAGGATTGATATGGATGGATTTTTTTGGGGTGATGCGTTTCCAATCAAGCACATCTAACTCCTTTACACGTTTCATACACGATTCATTTTTGTTGCCAGCAGTCATCAGTAACCCTCTTCCAAGATGCTTTTTAGATCCTTTTAGCAAACTCATCAAAACTCCGGGTTTGCGCGCGCCGGGATCTCCAATTGGGGTGGTCAATTTGCAGGAGGGATGCGATCAGGGAGATTGTTCTGCCAGCTGCGAAGAAAACGGCGAGTAACTGGCCGAGGATGAACTAGGCAAACTCCGCGTTCCGCGTGTTCTTCGGTGGCCTTCGCAACCGGGGTCCGGGGTGAACCTGAATCGCTGCCATCGTGGCTGGCCGCTTGGGAGGAAGCTCCGCCGAGCCTGACGAGCCAGAAGCTGACGAAGTGCCGGAACCAGACGTGTGCGAGCCCGCCCAAGACGAGCCTCCGCTGGCCCGGGAAACAAAAGAGGAACTGCCGGAACCAGCAGCGGACCAGCTAGCACACATCTCAGGCAGAGTAGGTGTTCTGTGTTCGGGAAGTGGGGACAAAGAGGAAACAAGTGGTAACATATATGTGGGAAAGAACCTGTAGACATGTAGATGTATAAGCAGGATACTGTATATAATGATGATATATCCCCGTTTTAATTTCCTCCAATGGTTCAACCAAATTCCCTTAGAAACGGTATCATTTTCTAGTAATAGATGACCACATGACCTAGTATATTGGTAGAGCCCCACCATTGTCCAAGAAAACACATGTTTTGATGGAAGACATAATTACCACATGTGTTCCATACCTTACTAATTCCTAGAAGACCTTCTATGGCTGTATTATGCTTGAAATCATGGGACATGAAAATAGGTACAAGATCACTTTCCAGCCGTTTGGCAAAACAGCAACAACAACAACAACAAGGAAACCATATTTTAGAGACGGCTGTGTAATAGGCAAACTGTGCAAATCGGGAGCGAAGATTGAGTGGAAAAGAAAGGAGAACAGTTTGCAGTGTCATGGTGTACTGTATGTCAAATTTTCGATTGTGCAAGATCTTGCTCTCTAGAATCGGTTGCTTGATGTTGTTTCCTTATTTGTTTGGAGAGCTGAAACATGTCTAGGAAATTGTTATTGTCACCTGTTGCTAGTGATTTTAACAACAACTCTTTCTGGTGTTTTTATAAAACAAAATTGGTTTATGCTACCGTGATTTAACTCACAATGCAGCCCGTACAAGACCATTCCCTATACAGAGGCACAAGATCATGAAGATGAGGTTTTGATGTTTTGCTTTTAGAATGCCTAGCGTTTTCTAGACAGCATTTCTACCTGGACACAACCATTTTAGACACAAAGTGTATGCCCCAACTTTTCTAGTTAGAGAATGGCTGAATGGCTGGTGCAGATTTCCTTGTATTGTGGAACGAGCACTGAAAAATAGTATTGGTGTTCTTTGAACTTATCAATGCAGGGAAACAAAGGCGTACAATTTTGGCGTGTCAGAGGCTTGACAAGTCTTCCGTCGACAGGATAAAACCCTCCCTCCCATAATTGACCGCCCAAAGAAGGAAAACACAAGTGACATTGCCACATGACTCATGACGGACTCATCCAATAGGTTCTGGCAGCCCCTGGTAGACCAAGCTGATTGTGCTTTCAGTGTGGTAGACTGGTAGACCGGTAGACCTGTTACTGTATGTTTGCATGTCCGTATGTTGTATAAGAATGACACCAAGCAACAATGGAATCAAGCAACAGCACATACTTTTACAAACAATCTCATCTCAACTTTCAACGACATGTTGTTTCATGGTTGGGAGTCAGCTGCCTTATACGTACTCCAAACCAGCTCTCCACTGGAGTTGGTGTTTTTCGCCGTGGTAAAAACGTTGACAACCTGTTTGATGGCAGCTGTACAAAATTCAACAATACAATAATCTATAGCCTTAGAAAACCAGGTAAAACCCCTTTCAACATGTATTGGACATTGGACATCCGATATATTTGGGACACCTCCGGCCATCGCTTGCGCGAGGCCTCCTCCGGCCATCGCTTCCGCTTCCGGTGCGCGCCGCGTCGGGCAGCTTTCGCAGTGCCATGCCTGCGTGGGGCGAGGTGCAGCGCGATTTGGGGCGTCTGCTGGCAGATCCATCTTTCAGGCGAAGGGGGGTGGAATGGTTTGGAGTGTGATTTGAATACATGTCAATCTGGGTGTTGGGTTCAACATCAACCACAGGATTGGCATGCTTTCCTCCACGGTTTGTTTGCTTGAGCTGCGCGGTTTGACCAAGGGAACCCTAATGTATCAGTGCACATGCTTGAGCAAGCTTCGCCAGGATTTTCCTCTTGTCCAGCACAGCCTCCTTGCGACCCTTGCGTCTTCCGGTCGCTCCAACGTTCCTGGGGTTGCAGGAAGGCGAGGGACCTTCTACACCTCTGAAACAATGTCAACCCCAGACCAGTAAGCCGTCCGCCCCATGCAAGGTCAACAAGGTCTGAGGTATCATTCATAGGGTCCACTCCCCCGGGTAACGATTTGATAGGAAGGTCGATGGAACCAACCAAGGTCTGAGAAGGGAGAGTCGGAGAATCCGTAGTAGTAGTAGTAGTAGTAGTAGTCGGAGTAGTGGTGGTAGTGGTGGTAGTGGTAGTAGTAGTAGTCGTCGTCGTCGTCGTCGTCGTAAAAGAGCAGCAGCAGCAGCAGCAGTCGTCATCGTTGTAGTGGTCGTGGTAAATGGTTGTGGTGGTGGTGGCGGTGGTTGGCAGGAGTAGGAGTAGGAGTAGGAGTAGGAATGGGAGTAGCAGCAGCAGGAATAGTAGTAGTAGTAGTAGTAGTAGTAGTAGTGTTAGTAGTGGTAGTAGTGGTAGTAGTAGCAGCAGTAGTAGTAGTAGGAGTAGGAGTAGGACGAGTAGAAGTAGTAGCAGGAGTAGGAGCAGGAGGAGAAGTAGGTTTCTAAAGGTAGGAAGCAAAACAAAAGGCAAGGAACAGGATCAAATTAATCAGGGGTAGTTGTGCGGAGTATTTCAGGGAGTAGTCCTTGTGGCGGATACCGGTTGCCAGCTTCTGAAAAGATTGGTATTGTTTTTCTTCAAAGGGAGATCTATAACTATATAAGGATCTTAATCTATAAGGCACCCCGGTTATCCCCAGTCCTTTTTCCTCACATTTGGCCCTGTAGACCCTGCAGTGGACACTGGAATGCTTGGCAATAGGAACCCCTCCCCTTGGGACATCCCCTTCAGTGCTCCGAATGAAAACTGAACCCCTTGAAACAATTTTTGGACTCCGCCATCCTTCACCTTGTATTTAATCACTTGTTTTAACGACCGACAGTACCATCTTGTTTGGTGTGGTTCAGCAAGGGAGTGCTTTCCTTTCATCCACTTTGCCTTTTCGTTTTGTTGGGTGACCGCACTGAGGATTCTTGAGCGTTTGCAGCTGCTCCTGGCAGAGCAGCTGAACGAAGCGCCAGAGCTTGGCTTTGCCCAGCGCGTGGCCACTGCCACTCGGACGACGAAGTTCAGTGCTTCATTTTTTGGGGGTTGAACCTGCGCGTGCCTGGCAAAAGAGAGGATGGTGCAATGGTGGGGAGATGGATGCACTTTTTTCGGGGGTGGGGAGTTCATGGATTCGGATGATGGCACCGTCCCACGAGCGAGGCCATGTCCGCCACGGTGGGCGTAGACTTCGCCGTGCAGGTGGGATTGATGCCACAGCCGCTGTGGTCGCAAGGAGTCTCACCGGGCGCGCTTGTGGTTCCCTAGCTCATCCAATTCCTTATCATGTAAGGTCAAGAGAATTGATTTGGCCATGTTTGGCCAAAAGTTGAGAGCTTGGGCCTGAACATGTAGCTCATGAATCCATGTCACTGGCCTCCTGACTGAGGAAACAAGGTCTGAAATCCTAGAGCTAGAGTCTGTGAGTGCCTGACCGGGACCCTTGCATGTTCAGAGGTGTTTGGACCCTTCAGAAATTGTTGTGTGATTATGAGGGCCTGGGCGTTTGGAGTGTGTTGGGGCCTTTGGCTTCAGGCATGCAGGGTTGCAGCAACTGCCCAAGCCTGCAGAAAGATAGGTGTGTCTCCGTGTCTCCTTTGGGTCCTTTGCTCCTCCCCATCACCCCATCAACCATGTCCATGATAAATGCACCAGCCACCAGTCCCAGCACCCCATCCCCAGCCACCGTTTCAGGTTTCACCAGCCCATGTTCATCCTTTTCCTGGGAGGCGGAGGCTGGAACGGAGATGAGTGCATGGCGGATGCCGGGATGCTGGGAAGAAGAACCAGGTTCAATTTGGGATCAAAGATCCATGCCCAAACCTGGCTCTAGTAGACGGAGCAGTGAACGATCAAGATTTGTTGTCCTCGATGTGTGATGCCAACAGCCCAGGACTTTATTATTGAACTTCGACACCAGATGCTTCCGATGGTAGTTAGTCACTCTAACTACTTTGTTAATACTTCAGGGAATTCCAAAAGCTTCGTCAAGCCATGGTTGCGCTTGCAAAACCCTGAAAATCAGCAGTGAACATAGGTGCTATATCAGTGGGTAGTATAGGTGGTGTCACTTCCCCCCCTGCCTTAAAGGGGTCCCGCTTGGTGCCAGCGTGCCGTTCCACTAGGCCCGGAGGTGCGCCTGTTGGTGAACGGCTTTGTGGCATCCAAGCCGAAGCACGTGTAGCTCGGACGAAGAAGTGGGTGTGGGTGTGCCAGGTCAGGCTGGTATTTTTTGTTAGGCTTACTTCTCTAACTAACGGCTAGGTTTATTTTCTTTGAGCATCCCTTTTCCAGATGATGAGTCCACCTGTGATTCATCCAATTCTGAATCATCCCAAGACGGTTTAGCCGTTCGCGCTCTCCGGGCTCCCGCTGTTTTCGCCTCTAACTGATCCGTCTCCGCACCGAGGCGCGGCGACCGGCCGGAGCGGAAGTGCACGCCGTGGCTCGCCTCGCTGTGCTCGCCGGAGCTGAGGAACATGGAGCTGGAGGGTTTGGGACCGGCCAAGTGCCAAGTACGAAGGTATCAACAAGTGCCACGGGACTCAAATATGTTCAAGTATGTGCAAAACTTGTTAGATGTGCAAGATGTGCCTTCTTTCACACATGTTTCGATGTTTTTCTCACTGGCCCCGATACTACTACATTCATCTAGCGGTGCTCAGGAGGGAGCCAGGAGTAGGGAGCTAAGGAGCCAGGAGTATCCATCCATATTGCCCATTCAACAGGGGGCCAACAAGCTACAGGCAGTTCCCCAACCCTTGCTGGTCATTGTTGAGTATAGATTTGACCCCTTATGCAAATGGGCAATTGACAAGGACTCACCAGTGAGCAACTCAAGATCTAGCTCATGGGCCCTTTTGCTTGTGCTTCTGCCAGGGCTGGGACCCCTGATGGGAGCGAGACGATCTGGGAGTACTCCGTGCGCGAAGCCTATGCCGAAGACACAGGCCATGAGTGTACGCACGTCACAGCTGCTAATTGGTGAACTGGTCGGGTATTCTTCAACAATCGCATGGTTTGACCAGGACTTCAGGAGTTTTGTGTTTGTCACACTTAGCCTCTGCTTAGGAAAAAAAACTTAGCCTCTGATAGTATCCACCGGACAAGACCTTTGATCAGTGAAAGTACTGACGCCTGTGTCGCGTTCTGGAATTCCATGGTTTGTTCCAGGCCGTGTTCTTTATCATGTGTCTCATGTACTCATGTGTGCTATGTTGAAAAGGGCGTTTGAGGGGTTTAAAAGATATATTATGATATATTAATGTTCCACTCTCCCGACAGGTCTTGGATAGATAGACTTTTGTTGCTTGCAGCTGGTTTAAACCATGCCAAATTCCCCTAATATCACTCAAAATATCACAAGAATCTTTGGACTGCTTGGAATTTGTGGACTGAGTCCAGTGCTCTCACTGTTCTCCGCACAGTCCCGTGCGGAGGCTCCGCTGTGGAGTGCTTTCGGCCACTGCTGGACGCCATGGCCCAGCGTGGTTGGAGTGGATGGCCCATGCAGTGAAAGAGCCGGAGAGAAAAATCAACGAGATCTGGGAAGAGATCGGTGGGATATCGGCCGGTGGTGGAATCTCGTGCTTAGGAAGGGCTATGGAGAACATGTTACGTCAGTTTTAAATGCTGCCGGAGATGTTGTGCATTTTTTTTGATGTAGGGAGCGTATATGAGTTGTTGAAGTCTTGAGGACTTTGGCCAACTTTGGCCCTCTCTTGTTGATCCAACCTGTCGTTGAGATAAACCTTTTTGGCATTGTTAGCTGTAGCTGTTGAAAGTGCTCGCACTGAAGGATCCCCCCGAAACTTGAGAGTAGCGATGAGCACATTGCAAATGATTATGCGACTCTCAAAATAGGTTGGATGTTGTGTTTTCTTCTTTCGTTGTGGCACATTTTGACCTCGTTACCGGATGCAGCCATTTCCCGCCACTGCTGCGCGGCTGTGCTGGCCATGCGGTGGGAGTCCACAGCTGCCGCGCAGCTGCTGCGCAGGCGTATCGTGGGCCCATGTTGCAGGCTTGGCTGTTGTTAGTTGTTGGTGTGTTCATTGGTTTTTGCAACCTACCATGTAGCCATCCAGTCGGGGTGGTTGGAAGATGATTCTGGCAAACAGCATCCTGGCTAATGTCAGCTTGGTGACGGCCAATGTGTTTGGCCGAGTAAGCTGTTTCAGAGTAACACAATTTAACACAACTGTTAGAGTCCCAAACCTACCCTGTTCTTTCGGGCCAGAACTGAACCTACTGCTGGACGTGCGAACCTAGAACGGATGGCGAGCATGAAAGCAAGCCCTCTCACATGGCGCAAGGTCAAAGAGTGCTCTTCAACAACCCTGGGTCGCTGGACGGCACCTCGACTTGGGCCGATCTGGCGGGCGCCCCGACTGGTCGATCTGGTCCAATCACGACTGGTCTCTCGTTGCGACCCCAAGATGGGGCTCCTGGTGTTGTGGTTTTGTCCATAAGCCACGCACTTCAAGATGGGCCTAGGGGATCAAGCAGCCATTTCATGGCCCTTCCGGGCACGTCTTGGATGAACTTGTGTGCGTCACCAAGCCTGCCGTGTACCAAGCACCTTAGCCCCTCAACACCATGGCCTCACAGTCCAAGACACTCAGCGCCTTCAGCTCCGCGACTCGGCGATGCGAACTGAGCCACAAAAGTGATCACTGCAGCTGGACCGCCTCCTGTACTTCAAGCCATCATGAACACGCAGAGGGCTTGTGGGAAATGAATGAGATTATATGATCCAGGATGGTTCTGAATCAATGGCGTTTTGATTTGCAAGTCACGAAAGCTAGCATGCTAGCTGAGTTCTTCTTTGCTTTAGCAATTGGTAGTGGAATGAGCTGCGTGCCTTAAACCTTGATATATCACACTAAGGGGGGGGCCTGGCCCCCCC